ATAATGAAATAATAATAATAATAATGAGTGGGTTTCAAAGAGCCCCCCAATATCAGGTTTTAGGGGGGAATGAATGAATGTAATTATTAACTAACTCCACTGACCCTCACCAACACTAATAATAATAATAATAATAATAATAATAATAATAATAATGATGATGATGATGATGAGTGGGTTTCAAAGAGCTCCCAATATCAGCTTTTAGGGGGGGGATTAATGGAATTATGAATGAACTCCACTACCCCTCACCAACCCTAATAATAATAATAATAATAATAATAATAATAATAATAATAATAATAGAAAAAAGTGAGGAAGAGGCCGGAGATATCATACACAATATCATGTTTTAGATGGGATGAATGAATGAGTGGAGCCCCCCAATATCAGGTTTTAGGGGGGAATGAATGAATGGAATTATGGAGAAAGTCCATTGCTCTTCATCAATACTAATAATAACAATAACAATAATGAAATAAATGAGGAAGAGGCAGGAGAAAGCTCCCAATATAAAATGAATGAATGGAATTATGAAGGGACTTCATTGCTCCTCAACACTAATAATAATAATAATAATAATAATAATGAGTGGGTTTCAAAAAGAACCCCAATATCAGGTTTTAGGGGGGAATGAATGAATGGAATTATGAAGGAAGTCCATTAACCTTCATCAATACTATTATTTATTTATTTATTTATTTATTACTTGCACTTATTAACCGCCGCTCTCAGCCCTATGGGCGACTCGCGGCGGTGTACAAAACATAGAAAAGACAATTTACAATAGATCAAGACAGCACAACAACACTCTACTACTACACAACATCTACTTATACTAAAAATCCGCTTCGTCTTATCATGTGGTCATAATCAATCGCATAGTCGTAGTTCATTCTGGTCGTCGTTCCAATAACATAGCACTCAGTTGAAGGCCATCTCGAAGAGCCATGTTTTCAGGCCCTTACGAAAGGCCATGAGAGAGGGCGCCTTTCTACTACTACTACTACTACTACTACTACTACTACTACTACTACTACTAATAATAATAATAATAATAATAATGAGTGGGTTTCAAAGAGCCCCCCAATATCTGGTTTTAGGGGGGAATTAATGAATGGAATTATGAAGGAAGTCCATTGCCCTTCATCAATACTAATAATAACAATAACAACAATAATGAAATAAGTGAGGAAGAGGCAGGAGAAAGCCCCCAATATCAAATGAATGAATGGAATTATGAAGGGACTCCAATTTATCCTCATCAACACTAATAATAATAATAATGAGTGGGTTTCAAAGAGCCCCCAATATCAGGTTTTAGGAGGGAATGAATGAATGGAATTATGAAGGGACTCAATTGCTCCTCATTAACACTAATAATAATAAAAATAATAATAAGTGGGTTCCAAAGAGCCCCCAATATCAGATTTTAGGGGAGATGAATGAATGGAATTATGAACTAACTCCACTGACCCTCACCAACACTGATAATAATAATAATAATAATAATAATAATAATAATAATAATAATAATGAGTGTGTTTCAAAGAGCCCCCCAATATCAGGTTTAAGGGGGGAATGAATGGATGGAATTATTAACTAACTCCACTACCCCTCACCAACACTAATAATAATACTAATACTAATACTAATAATAATAATAATAATAATAATGAGTGGGTTTCAAAAAGCCCCAATATAAGGTTTTAGGGGGGAATGAATGAATGGAATTATTAACTAACTCCACTGACCCTCACCAACACTAATAATAATAATGATGATGATGAGTGGGTTTCAAAGGGCCCCCAATATCAGGTTTTAGCGGGGAATGAATGAATGGAATTGTTAACTAACTCCACTGCCCCTCACCTACACTAATAATAATAATAATAATAATAATAATAATAATAATAATAATAATGAGTGGGTTTCAAGGAGCCCCCCAATATCAGGTTTTAGGGGGGAATGAATGAATGGAATTATGAACTAACTCCATTGCCCCTCACCAACATTAATAATAATTAGAGGGTTTCAAAGAGTCCCCCAATTTACGGGGGATGAATGAATGGAATTATGAACTAGAGGTCACTCCTTGTAGGGACCCCCTCATTCCTCAATAATGGCATGGGTTCCTGGAGGGACTCCATTGCCCCTCACCAACACATAATAATAATAATTATGAACTAACTCCATTGCCTCTCACCAACACTAATAAGAATAAGAATAATAATAATAATAATAATAATAATAATAATAATTGTAATAAGTGGGTTTCAAAGAGCCCCCAAGATCAGGTTTTAGGAGGGAATGAATGAATCAACACTAATAATAATTATAACAAGAATTATAATGAATTATAAGAATTATAACAAGGAGGGAATGAATGAATGGAATTATTAACTAACTCCACTGAGCCTCGCCAACACTAATAATAATAATGAGTGGGTTTCAAAAAGCCCCCAATATCAGGTTTTAGGGGGGAATGAATTTTTTTTTGTCGTGTCAGGAGGGAAATGAATGAATGGAATTATGAAGGGACTCCACTGCCCCTCACCAACACTAATAATAATAATAATGAGTGGGTTTCAAAGAGCCCCCAATACCAGGTTTTAGGAGGGAATGAATGAATGAAATTATGAACTGACTCCATTGCCACTCACTAACACTAATAATAGTAATAATAATAATAATAATAATGAGTGGGTTTCAAGGAGCCTCCAAGATCAGGTTTTAGGAGGGAATGAATGAATGAATGGCATTATGAACTAACTCTATTGCCTCTCACCAACACAAATAATAGTAATAATAATAATAATAATAATAATGAGTGGGTTTCAGGGAGCCTCCAAGATCAGGTTTTAGGAGGGAATGAATGAATGAATGGCATTATGAACTAACTCTATTGCCTCTCACCAACACGAATAATAGTAATAATAATAATAATAACAATAATAATAATAATAATAATAATAATAATGAGTGGGTTTCAGGGAGCCTCCAAGATCAGGTTTTAGGAGGGAATGAATGAATGAATGAATGGAATTATGAACTAACTCTATTGCTCCTCACCAACTCTAATAATAATAATAATAATGAATGGGTTTCAAAGAGCCCCCAATATCAGGCTTTGGGAGGGAATGAATGAATGGAATTATGAATTAACTCCATTGCCCCTCACTGACACAAATAATAATAATAATAATAATAATAATAATAATAATAATAATAATAATGAGTGGGTTTCAAAGAGCCCCCAATATCAGGTTTTAGGGGAAAATGAATGAATGGAATTATGAAGGAAGTCCATTGCCCCTCACCAACACTAATAATAATAATAATAATGTGTTTCAAAGATCCCCCAAGATCAGGTTTTAGGGGGGATGAATGAATGGAATTGTGAACTGGGGGTCAAGTCCTTGTAGGGCAGATCAGGTTTTAGGGGGTAATGAATGAATGGAATTATGAACTAACTCCACTGCCTGTCACCAACACTAATAATAATAATAATAATAATAATAATAATAATAATAATAATGAGTGGGTTTCAAAGATCCCCCAATATCAGCTTTTAGGAGGTAATGAATGATAATAATGAGTGGGTTTCAAAGAGCCCCTCAATATCAGGTTTTAGGGGGAAATGAATGAATGGAATTATGAAGGGACTCCACTACCCCTCATCAACACTAATACTAATTACAACAAGAATTATAATGAATTATAAGAATTATAACAAGGAGTGAATGAATGAATGGAATTATTAACTAACTCCACTGACCCTCACCAACACTAATAATAATAATAATTCAAAGTGAATTCAAAGTGCTGGCGTTGGCCTTTAAAGCCCTAAACGGTTCTGGCCCAAGCTACCTATCTGACCTCATCTCTGCCTATGAACCCCCAGGACTTTGAGATCTTCCGGGGAGACCCTGCTCTCGATCCCGCCTGCTTCTCAAGCTCGGCTGGTGGGGACGAGAGATAGGGCCTTCTCGGTGGTGGCTCCTCGGCTGTGGAACGCCCTTCCTACGGACATTAGACTAGCACCATCTCTAATGGTATTCCCCAAAAAGGTGAAGACCTGGATGTTTGTGCAGGCGGAGTAATTTAGTGCAATCTGGTAATGGAACATAGGAATGGAACAATGGACGACGAACCTGGACTACGCTTGGATGATGAGAAGATTGGGTACGGTTGTTTTTCGTAATAATTGTGCATTGTAATTGCTTATTGGTAATTTATGGATAATGTGTTAAGTCAATTGTTATATGTTGCATGGAACCACTGCTGTTTCTACTGTTTTTACTGTTTGTGAACCGCTGTGAGTCGCCTTCGGGCTTGAGATACAGCGGTATATAAGCAAAGTAAATAAATAAAGTAAATAAATAATAATAATAATAATAATTAGTGGGTTTCAAAGAGCTCCCAAGATCAGGTTTTAGGGGGAATGAATTAATGGAATTATGCCCCTCACCAACACATAATAATAATGAGTGTGTTTCAAAGAGCCCCCAAGATCAGGTTTTAGGGGGAAATGAATGAATGGAATTGTGAGCTGGAGGTCAGTCCTTGTAGGGCCTCCTCCTCCCCCAATCCTGCCTTGGCTTCCAGAGGAGGCTCCACTGCCCCTCACCAACACATAATAATAATGAGTGGGTTTCAAAGAGCCCCCAAGACCAGCTTTTAGGGGAGATGAATGAATGGAATTGTGAACTGGAGGTCAGTCCTTGTAGGGCCTCCCCCTCCCCAATCCTGCCCCTCAGAAACACTAACAATAGTAATCCTGAGATCCCAGCCTGAGGAGACTCCTTGTCCCAAGACAGAGAGGGCTGAACACAATGGGGAATGGATGAGGAGAGAGAGAGAGGGAGGCCCCTCTTTGTAAGGAACGAGGGCGCGTTTGCTTGCGCGAGGGAGGGAGGGAAGCGTGTCCCTCGTCGCGCCCCGTCCTTTCCCTTCCTCCCTTCCCTGAGGCCTGAGGCCTAGCGCCTGGTACTACTCACTAGGGCTCGTTGGTGAAGCGGGGGCTCCTGGGAGGCTGGTATCCGTAGAGGTGGCAGTAGAGCACGTCGAAGCAGAAGCAGCACATCTCGGCCGAGACCACCATCTTCCGGCAGCCCGGCCCGGGCGAGGCGGAAGAGGAGGCGGCGGAAACAGCAGCAGAGGCGGAGGAGGAGGAGGCTGAGGAGGCCGAGGCTGAGGAGATTGGGGCCCCACAACCCGGCGGAGAGGGCCCCGCCAACGCGCACCCGGGGGAGCCCCCGGCCAGGCCGTTGAGGCGCGGCGCCCCCGGCTCCCCCCCCGCCGAGCACCGGGCGCTGCCCCCCGCCCCGCTGCCCGGCCCGGCCGAGCTGCCCGACGGCGGCGAGCTGGAGAGCTTCTGCTTCTTCACCCCGCAGCAACCCGCCGCCATCTTGGAGGAGCCCGACCCGCCGCCAAGGCCTCCGCCGCCGCCGCCGCCGCAGCAGCGCTTCCGACCCATGGAGGCCGAGGGGGCGGGGCCCGGAGGGCGGGGGGCGGGGCGAGCGCGGCGGGAGGACACGCCCCCCGAGGGGCAGGACACGCCCCCGGCGCCTCCTGCAAAAGGGGAGGGGGGAGAGGGAGGGGGAGAGAAGAAAGGGAGGAAGGCAGGGTAAAGAGGAGGAGAAGATGGAGGGAAGGAGAGAAGGGGAAGATGGAGGGAAAGGAGAGGGAAGAAGATGAGGAGGAAGAAACGGAAGGGGAATGAAGAGGAGATGGAAGAAAAGAAGAGAAAGGGGAAGGGAAAGGGGAGGAAGAAGATGGGGAAGGAAGAAAGAGGGAAGGGGAAGGAGAAGAGGAGATGGAAAAGAAGAAGAGAAAGGGAAAGGAAGAAGGAGAGGAGGAGATGGAAAAGAAGGGGAAGATGGAGGGAAAGGGGAGGAGAGAAGATGGGGAGGAGGAAAGGGTAGGGGAAGGAGAGAAGTAGATGAAAGAGAAGAAGATAAAAAGATGAAAAGGGGAGAAGATGGGGATGGAAGGAAGGGGAGAGGAGGAGATGGAAGAGAAGAAGAGAAAGGGGAAGATGCAAAGGGGAGGAGAGAAGATGGGGAAGAAAGAAAGAGGGAAGGAGAGGAGGAGATGGAAAAGAAGAAGAGAAAGGGAAGATGGAGGGAAAGAGGAGGAGAGAAGATTAGGAAGGAAGAAAGAGGGAAGGGGAAGGAGAGGAGGAGATGGAAGAGAAGAAGAGAAAGGGGAAGGAAGAAGGAGGGAAGGGGAAGGAGAGGAGGAGATGGAAGAAAAGGGGAAGGTGTAGGAATCAGAGGAAGGAAAGATGAAGAAGAGAAGATGGAGGGAAGGAGAGGAGATGGGAAGGAAGGAAGAGGGTAGGGAAGGAGAGGAGGAGATGGAAGAGAAGAAGAGAAAGGGGAAGGAAGAAGGAGGGAAGGGGAAGGAGAGGAGGAGATGGAAGAAAAGGGAATCAGGAAAGGAGGAAGGAAAGAGAAGGAGGAAGAAAAGAGGAGGAAGAAGAAGGAAGGAAGAGGGTAGGGGAAGGAGAAAAGGAGATGGAAGAGAAGAAGTTAAAGGGAAAGATGCAAAGGGGAAGAGAGATGGAGAAGGAAGAAAGAGGGAAGGAGTAGGAGAGGAGGAGATGGAAGAAGAGAAAGGGAAGATGGAGGGAAAGGGGAGGAGAGAAGATGGGGAAGCAAGAAAGAGGGAAGGGGAAGGAGAGGAGATGGAAGAAGAAGAGAAAGGGAAAGATGCAAAGGGGAGAAGAGAAGATGGGGGGAAGAAAGAGGGAAGGGGAAGGAGAGGAGGAGATGGAAGAGAAGAAAAAGGAAAGGTGGAGGGAACAGGAAAGTAGGAGGGGAAGAGGAAGGAAAGAAGATGGAAGGAGAGGAGAGAATGGGGAGAAAAAGGGAAGGAGGAGGGGGAAGAAGAGAAGATGGTGGGAAGGAGGAGATGGAAAAAAGGGGGAAGATGGAGAGAAAGGGAAGGAGGAGGAAGGGAAGAGAGGGCAAAGAGGAGAAAATGGAGGGAAAGGAGGCAGTGGGAAGGAGAGCAGGAGATAGAAGAAAAGGGGAGGATGGAAGGAAAAGGGAGGAGAGAAGATGGGGAGGAAGAAAGGGAAGGGGAAGGAGAGGAGGAGGTGGAAGAGAAGAAGAGAAAGGGGAAGATGCAAAGGGGAGGAGAGAAGATGGGGAGGAAGAAAGAGGGAAGGGGAAGGAGAGGAGGAGATGGAAGAGAAGAAAAAAGGAAAGGTAGAGGGAATGGAAGGAGGAGGGGAAGAGGAAGGAAAGAGAAGATGGAAGCAGAGGAGAGAATGGAAAGAGGGAAGGAGGAGGAGAAGAGAAGATGGTGGGATGGGGAGAGAGGGAGGAGATGGAGGTAAGGAGAGCAGGAGATGGAAGAAAAGAAGAGGAAAGAGTGAAGATGGAGAGAAAGGGTAGGAGGAGGAAAGGAAGAGAAAACAGAGGAAAAGATGGAGGGAAAAAGAAGAGAGAATAGGAAGGATTTGGGGAAGAAAAGATGTGAGGAGAGAGGAGGAGATGAGGGAAAGTGGGATGGGAAGGAGAGCAGGGCATAGAAGAGGAGAGATAAGAGAAGATGGAGGAATAAAGAGAATGGGAAGATAGAGGGGAAAGGAAGGAGGAGAAGATGTTAGGAAAGAGAGAGGAGAAGAAGGAGGAAAGGGGGTGGGAAGGAGAGGAGAAGATGGAGGGAAAGAGGGAAGGAAGAGGGAGATGGAGGGAAGGAGAGAAGGGAAAAAAATGCAGAGAGAAAGAAGATGGGATTAGAAGAGAAAGGGTTTGGGGACAAGAAGAAGGAGAAAAGGGGGGAAGATGGAGGAAAAGTGAAGAAGAGGAAAGGGAAGAAGGGAATGGGGAGATGGAGGAAGGGAAAGGGGCAAAGGGGGGTGGAAGGAGAGGAAGGAATTGGGGAAAGGAGTAAGAGAAAGAAGAGGATTGAGAAAGGAGGAAGATGGAGGGAAAGGGAAGGAGGAAGGAAAGAGGGCAAAGAGGAGAAGATGGAGAAAATAAGGAGGGAAGAGGGATATGGATGGAAATGGAAGAAGAGAAAGGAGAAAACAGAGTGGAAGGATGAGAAGAGAAGGAGATTGGGGTAAGGAAGAAGAGAGAAGGGGAAGAGGGAAGGAAAGGGAAGAAGAGGGAGATGGAGGGAAGGAGAGAAAAGGAAATGCAGGAGAGAAAGAGAAGATGGGATTAGAAGAGAAAGGGGTTGAGGACAAGAAGGAGGAGGAAGATGGAGGAAAAGTGAAGAAGAGGAAAGGGAAGAAAGAAAAGAAGGAGACGGGGAGATGGAGGAAGGGAAAGGGGCAAAGGAGGATGGAAGGAGAGGAAGGGATTGGGGAAAGGAGTAAGAGAGAAAGAAGAGGATTGAGAAAGGAGGAAGATGGAGGGAAGGAGAGAAGGGTGAGATGAAGTGGGAGGAATAGAAAGGAGAAAGAGGAAGGAAAAAGGAGATATTTAGAGAGAAAGGAAAAAGTGAATGGAATAGGGAAAGGGGGTAAAGATTGCATAGAGAATCCCAGAAAAAGAAAAGGGCCAGAATTTGGAGAGGAGGAAGAAATGAAAGAAGGAAAAGGAAGACAAATGGAGAAGGATGAGAAAAGAGGGTTCACAGGAGAAAGGAAGAGAAAAAGAGAGAAAACATTAGTGATTTGCTGCCTTCATTTGGTCCAGTATCCAGACCACCTTATGACCCCCTGTCTGTTCCCACCAATCTCCATATTATTTTGCACCTTAAGACGACATTTTGTTATACTGGAGGTATGGAGTCCCACATTGCTGCTAAGTCTCCTTTCCTAACCATCCCACGGATGTGAAAAAAGGCCCTACTAAATAATGCACATGACCTGAGTTGGCTTGAAGCAGGAGATGAAATAAATAAGTCTGAGTCAGCAAGGCAGAGCCAAGGAGTCTCCCGTAAAACACACACACACACACGGAAGAGAGAGACATACATTCAAATTGCAGCCGCCCTGTGCTGCCTGACAATTGTGGTCTGTCGCCATCCCATAAATGCCATCCCAGGGAAAGGATGAGACAGACGCTGCTTTCCCCTGGTATCAGACAGCCTCTCACAACTCTTTATTTGTTGGCATGCACAAACCTATTTTAGGAAACGCTTCCTACTATTATTCAGCCCACTACATATCTTATGGCGATGTGCTGGGAGCGAGAATCAGCATGGAGTGCATCTACACCATAGAATTAATGCTGTTTGACGTCAGTGTTAAATGCTATGGGTTCATGAGATTTGTAATTTGGGGAGTCACCGGCCCTATTGGTAGAGAGGGCTAAAGACCTTGCAAAATTACACCTCCCAAGATTGCATAATATTTATTTATTTACGACATTTATATGCTGCCATTCTCATCCCGAAGGGGACTCAGACCGGCTTACAAGATATATATATATATATATATATATACATACAATCTATATAAATAAAAATGTAATGTTCATTTGTGGGATTAACAAGAACTCAAAAACCAATGGGCCAATTGACACCAAATTTGGACAGCATACACCTAACAACCCAACGTATGTCCTTCACTCAAAAAGTTTTGATTTTGTCATTTGGGAGTTGTAGTTGCTGGGATTTATAGCTTGCCTACAATTAAAGAGCATTCTGAACTCCACCAATGATGGAATTGAACCAAACATGGCATACAGGACTCCCATGACCAACAGAAAACACTGGAAGGGTTTGGTGGGCATTGACCTTGAGTTTGGGAGCTGTAGTTTACCTACATCCAGAGAACACTGTGGACTCAAACAATGATGGATCTGGACCAAACTTGGCACGAATATTCTATGTGCCCAAATATGAACACAGATGGAGTTTGGGGGAATTAGACCCTGGCATTTGGGATTTGTAGTTACTGGGATTTATAGTTCACCTACAATCAAAGAGCAATCTGAACCCCACAGGGGTTTCACCCATTGCACCTGTACCATTGCCCATGGCTTTTGGTCTTAAATGTGCATCATCTCTTGCTATGGTTGCAAAATGGAGAATTGAGTTGTTTATGGAGCTGTCCAAAGTGCTGAATATATTTTGGCGATAGAGTTTGGACCTTTGGCTCGCTGCTTTAAAGATCAGACTAAAACCCAGAGTGGATTCAACAGCCCACTAACCTGAAGGCCCTAATCGCAATTCAGATTATACTGTCTATGTTCACACTAATATGTTTTCCGCCGAATCCACTCTTTTACTATTGCAGCCATGCTGTGAAGTGTATAGTCAGGCTTCCATATCCACCAAGGTTAGGGGCACAGGGCCACCACAAAAGGGGAAATAATGCAAATACCAAAACAGCATGGAAAAACCTCTTTAGGAATATCTAGTTTCCCCAAAATGTGGTCTTCCATAAATGCTGTTCCAGAATAAAATCCTGCTCTTTCTAAAAAGCAATCTGATGCATCCCAGGTTCACTCTGAACAAGGACCCCAAAGGGTTAATATCTACCTTATATATATATGC